TGTGTTGGGCTGTCGGTTTATTTCCAAAGGTGGCCCAGTCACTATTAAGAGCAACTGGAGCCCAGAGTGAGCCAGAGCTAGTCTTAGGAGGCTTAGTGAGTAGCAATAAGACCTTCCTACATCCTGGGCTGGCTACCAGGTCATAGTGAAACCTGAATTGACAGGGACATAAGGGAATGAGACTACAGGGTTGGAAAGACCCAGCACAAAGCTAGAACTAGACAACCTGTCGTCACAGCTGCTCCCTGCTCCTCTCCATCATGTTCTGGGTCCTGGGCCTGCCTTTGAAATTCAGTATGGAGACCTGGGTGTGGCAGTCCCCTTCCAACCCCTTCAGTGCTCCCCAGCAGTGCCTCCATTCCAAAGACAGCACCTCAGCTGATCGGCTACAACATTCATATACCCACACTAAACTATTTGCGTCCACTCTGTTTGAACTTAATTTTTATTACTTTATTGATTGTACATGGGGGTATGTGTACCACAGCACATGTGTGAAGGTCAGAAGACACCTCTTGGTAGTCAGTTCTCTTCTTTCACCATGTGGGTCCCAGAGATCAAACTCGGATTCCCAGGCTTGACAGCAAGCACCTTTACCCTCTGAGCCATCTATTATCCCAATCCCTGTTTAAAAACAGTGTGTTTGTGTGTGTGGGGGGGTGTCTAGAGAGATGGTTCAGCAGCTAAGAGCACTGGCTACTCTTGCAGAAGATCCAGGTTCAAATCCCAGCACCCAAATAGCAGCTGACAGCAGTCTGTAGTCCGTCACTCCATTTCCAGGGGATCTGACACCTTCTTCTGTCCTCTGCAGGCTCTGCATGATACAGGTGCACCTACATGCATGTAGGTATAATACTCATACACATAAAATAAAACAAAAACAACAAAAACTCAGTGCTGGTTTGAAACCCAGGGCCTCATGAATGCTGGGCAACTGCCAAGTGCTTGATCACAGCTACATCCATGATGTCCCTGGGCTTTTCTTTGGTCTTTCTGAGACAGGGTCTCCCTGTAGCTCCAGCTGTTCTGAAACTCACTATGTAGACCAGGCGGGCCTTGAACTCACAGAGATCCGCCTGCCTCTGCCTCCCGAGTGCTGGGATTAAAGGCGAACACCACCACGCCCAGCCTGAGACAGGATTTTAACTCTAAGTTTCAGACTGACTGGTCTGAAACTCCTCATCTAGACCAGGCTAGCCTCTCAAATTCACAAAAGATCTGCCTGCTTCTATCTCTGGTGTCCTGGGATTAAAGGTATGTGCCAGAAGGCTCAGCCAAAGCAGTATTTTTATAATGTTTTATTTTTATTTATGTGTATGTCTGTGAACATGTGCTCACAGGGCCAAAAGAGGGCATCAGATCTCCTAGAGCTGTGAGCTGCCTCAGGTGCAGGAAACCAAATACCCACTCCTGAGCAGCAAGGGCTCTTAATGGTTGAGCCATTTCCCCAGTCCTCCCACCCCACCCTTTTTTCTTTTTTTCAGACAAGGTCTCACTCACTATGCAACCTTAGCTGCCCTTGAAAGCACTGAGATCTACCTGTCTCTGCCTCCCAAGTGCAGGGATCAAAGCTGAGCGTCACCATGCCCAGCCCAGCCCTTGGTTTTTTGAAACAGGGTCTCACTATGTAGCTCAGTCTGGCTTTGAACTCTTGATCCTCCTGCCTCAGCTTCCCAAGTGCCAGGATTACAGGCCACCACACCTGGGTTTTTGTTCATTCTTTATTCTTTTTTACGCAGTGGTCCTAAGGCTTTTTTTTTTTCTCACCCATCTATGCATCCATTCATTTAATGATTACATTAATAAAGTATTCATTCACACATTCATCTGTCATTCATTCAACAGATGTTTACTGAGCATGCCCTTTGTGCTGGGCAGTGTTTGGTCAAATTCTTGGTAAAATGCCAGTTTGGGTAGGAAATTCATACTGCTGTCTGTAGAGGACTCTGCTATCCTCTTCCTGAGAGAGAGCTGGTTTTCATATGGAGAATGAAGAAACAGTTTTCATAAATGCTAGATGAGCTGAGCACACATAGGAGCCCAAACACGCACATGTGCGCATGTGTGTTGAAGGAGTGAAACCCCCTCATAAACCGCAAATGCTCTGTGTGTGTGTGTGTGTGTGTGTGTGGTGTGTGTGTATCTTCCCAACACCCCAATCAGCTCTAGGAGGTAGGACAGGTACAGGAGCAGGCGTAAGTAACCACTTCACAGAGACCGCAACACCTTGGTTGTGTCCATCAGAGCTCACCTGCCCTGGAAGCCCAAGGTAATGCTGCCTCTTCCAGAAGTTATCCTCCCTGTCAGAATAAATCTCTGCCTCCTATAGTCCCAGAGAAATTTGCCAACACTTCATTAAAGTGTTTTCTCTGTGGCTCTGCTCCTTTCAGTGGGCTGGGATGAGAATCTGTGTCTGTCCACCTGTCCACTGGCTAGATACTTCTGGGGAACACAATTCCCTAGGTGCCAATGTATACATCAGGTGCTCACTAAATGTTGCTGATGCAGGTTACCCAGAAGGTCAAGAACACAACTCCTGCCCTCACCCAAAACCAATAGCAGCCTGACTGGCCTTGGTCATTCCTGGTCCTTTTCCCTCCCCCCAGGCTCCACACAGGAGTCCCAACAAACCTTTTAAAATGTAAATCTGCATTTGTCAGACCTTTCAGGATCCCTGTCACATTCAGGATAAAATCCCAAACCCCCTAAAGTCCTTCAGGGCCTGGCAGGATGGATCTCAGCCTTATATGAACTTCCTCTCCAAGCTCCAGCAGAAGGGAACTCCTTCTCTTCTCAGAGCTTGCTGGATCTTTCTGGATAGCTGGCTTTGGGGCTGGCTGGAACCTCTACCTGAGACAGTGCCCATCTTCATCTCACTCTCCTTCCTTCTTTCCTAAGATGCCCATTCTCTATAATCTGCCTCAGTTGCACACTGTCTCCTTTGGGAAAGCCTGTCCTTGGCTGAGACGGTAGGCATTCCGTAAATGTACAGTGGTGGAGGCAGGATTCTCTGGCTCCTTATTCCCTGAGAGCAATGGTTTAGGTGAGCATAACCATTTTCTCCTTAGCACTGACAAGAGGGCTGGGGATACAGCTCAGTGGCAGAGCACCTGCCTAGTATGCTTGAAGCTCTGGGTTAGATCCCCAGCACCACAAAACCAAAAAAAAAACAAAACCAAACAACAACAACAACAACAACAAAAAAAAAACCTGTAAGAATAATGCTGACACAGAAATAAAATGGCAAGAGGGAAAAAGTCCTCTTCCTAAAATGCCACTAGGGGCCAGTGCTCCAGAGTACCTCCTAAAAAATGACTGTTTTGCACATTTATGCCTGTTCCTTCTGTATCTGCTCAGGAGACTAGGAAACCAGTTTGCAGTGGGCTGGAGACTCAGGTTCCAACCCTGCTTCACCACTTCCCAGCTGTCTGTCAACCACCAGTCCATCCCATTTCTCCATCTGCAAAAGGTGGATGATAATAGTACCTACTTCCCAGGGTTGCTAGGGCTGGGAACTTGCTACCTTTATTAATCACTCCTGTTTTGTTTTTTTGAGACCAGGTCTCACTAGCACTGGCTGCCTGGGACTATACAGACCAGACTGGCCTTGAAATCACAGGGATCCACCTGCCTCTGTGTTGGGATTAAAGGCAGGTGCCACCATGCCTGACTCCCTACTCAGTTTTTGAGATGGAGTTTTGCTATGTTGCCCAAGCTGGTCTGGAATTCCGAGGTTCTGGTGTTCCTCCTGCCTCAGCTACCCTGAGTAGTTAGGACTACAGGTGCCTCGTGCTTGGCATATAAGACATTCACCATCATCATCAAGGAGAATATTCCAGGGCTCCCTCTCCACCCAGAGGCCATATCTTGCCAACTTTTGTAAGAAACTCCAAGTAGCCTGTGAAGTTCATTCTTAAGTCACAGAACATGCGAACATCTGTACACATTTAAGAACTGGGTAGGGGAAGGCACTGTCCTGGGTAGGTTGGAAAGGCGCTAAGATCAGGGGCACCCACTGCCCATGCTCGTGAGGAGAATCAGACAAATCTGAAATCAGGGTGCTGCTGGGCACATGGCAGGGCTGCCCAGAGGGTGTGAAGACAGGAGAGTGTTACAGGGCAGGTGTACAAGGGAGAGGCAGGGTGCTGGAGGAAGCCTGGGGTGGACAGAAGGCAGGATGCAGGAAAACTGTCCATTCATTCCCCTTCTAGGGCCTGACAGGCACTGATGAAACCAGGTTGGGCCCTAGCGGTGAAAGCCTGGGTAGTAATTCTCCCCAGGAGGCAGAACCTTCCTGTGCCAGTCCTGGTCAGGAGTGGGTGGGGAGTCCAAAGGAAGACACAAGGAGACAAGCATTAACAGAGCCAGGCCCTGTCACACTCACCTGTTTCCCCCATCCCTTCTGCCAGGTCTAAATAGCCTGGGATCAAGCCTTGGTCAGGGATGAGGGGAAAAGGGGCAGCCTCCAGTTCCCTCTTGGGGGTGTGGTCTCTGGAGGCAGAATCCTCAATCTGGGGGTTAGGACCCTTCCTCCCTTATTCTTCAGCTGAGCATCCTAAAGGGGGTGACCCTCTGACCTCCAGATGGTTCCCCTCCTGAGAACCCCCAGCTAGGAACTTCAGAGCTCCAGAGGACACAGATTCAGCTGTTGGGAGGCAGCTTTGGGTCTTGAAAGATTCTAGGGTACCCTGGGCATTCTTGGGGAGCTCAGTCAAGATCAGAGAGGCCTGATTCAGGTCCACAGAGTACAGGACCGGGATGTGGGTGCCTGGCCCTGGAGGGAGGGGGCCACCGGCAAAGGGGTCAGGCCCAGGGAGCAGGCGGGGCATGGGGAGTGGAGGGTGCCCAGTGGGGGTGGGAGGGCGCCAGGGTCCGACCGGTGCGGGGGGGGGGGCGGCCCCCAGGGAGGGGCAGGCTATGTCTTTAAGAGCTGCCTGAGCGCAGGTTGCAGCTGCCTGGCCAGCCCGAGAGACAGCGGAGATTCATTACCCATCTACACAATGACCATTGATGGCCCCGTGGCGTTATTCAAATCCAGTACCAATTGCAGCCGAGCCCCTTTCTCCGCGCCAGGCCCGTATTGTTGGAGCGGCCCACTAAAAGCCCGCCCCGGCCCCGAGCCGCCAGAGGCGCCCGCTCGGGTCCAGCCCTGCGCCTCGCCAGCAACCGGCTCCCAGGTCGGCTCCCCGGGCGCTGCAGGTGACCCGGCGGCGCATTCCTGCGCTCCCGGCCGCCCTGGCCACTGCCACCCGCGCCCCGGCCGCTACTCAGCCACAAGGACGCGGACAGCGCGGAGCCGGTGCGTGCCCAGGGCTGGGCGGGGGAGGGGGCCGGCGAGTCCGGCCCGGGACCAGGAGACGCCACCGGCCGCGGGCCCCTGCTCCCCGGATTCCCCGCGAGCCCAGCCTGGGGCGGGGAGATGGGAGTCGGGTTCCCTGGACCCGACAGAAAAGTCCCCTAACCTGGGGCGGCTCAGAGCCCTAAGCCCGGGCCACGGTGGAGGGAGACGCAGCAGGGGCGCCGGGTGGCCCGCGAAGGGCCGCGGTGTGCGTGCCGCCGTCCCCTTACCGTGGGCTGGGTCGCCACCGCGGAGCTCTGCGAGGTCTTCCGCAGCTCGGAGCTCCGGGTGCGCGTCTCCGGAGCGAGGCGGAACCCCGCAGGACGCGGGGCCCTCAACTCAGGGGCTTCGCCACTGATTGTCCAAACGCAATTCTTGTACGAGTCTGCGGCCAACCGAGAATTGTGGCTGGACATCTGTGGCTGAGCTCCGGGCGCAGCAGGGGCGGGGGCCGCAGGGCCCGAGCGCGACCCCGGGGCGGCTGGTCTCAGCCGAGGACCGTGGCCCCGAGCTGGCGCGCAAAGAAGGGGCCGTCCGCGCCTCCATCCTCGTCCTCTGCGGTGACTGTCTCTGCCGGCGGGGTCCTCAGTCGATCGCACTGGCTTCCCGATTTTCACATTTTGGTTGGAAAGAAGCTGGCACGCAGCTGCGGCCACGAACGTGGCCCGCGTAACCCGCCCTCGGCGAGAGCCGCAGGAGGCCGGGATGAAGGAGGCGCCCCCGAAAAGCGCTCGCAAACTCGACTGGAATCTGCTCTCACCTGTCCCCGACCCGGTACCCCACAAACATACAATCTAACCAACCCTCAAACCCCAAACCAACCAAACCCTCCCACGCGCGCTGGACAGACGGACAGGCAGAGCCTCCAACTACCAGAAAGCGAGCAGCTGGGGACCGCGCGCTCCAGCCGCGCAGCCGCCTCTGGAAAAGGAACTTGGACAGAGGAACCTTTCATTAAAGAAAAATCCTTCGGAGATAGTGAAACTTATTCGTTTATTTCCTCAAAAGCAGGGGTCAGGAGTCGTGTGTGTGTGGGGGATTCCTGGGAGCTGATGGTGCTGAATCACCTCTCTGACCCCTTTCTGCTCGCGGCTGAAATGGTCCAAGCCAGTCTCCACTCTGGCGTTGGCATCCCTGCGGTGGGCAGAGCGCGGTTTCCCCAGCCCATCCTCCTGAATGCTCAGCATTTACTGGGGTACCTAGTCGGCAGGGAAGTCACAGCTGCACCTCCCACCCCATCAGCTGCATGCAGCTGAAGGAATCCTCCACCATCTCCAGAGCCTGGAATCCCAGGTGGGACCACAGGCCATTCCTGCTCGCGGGCTGCAGGGTGGGAGGGAATGTCAAACGACAAACAGGACAGGCGAGCCTTCTGTAAAGAAGGCTGTGAGGTCCATTACAAGTCCCTGACCTCAGCACCTAGTGAAGGCCAGCCACAAGGCCTCTCTAAACAACACGGAGACCCCACACTGGCCTTAATCTGCACCTAGTGAGATAAGTAATCTCTACCAGGTAGTAATCTCTACCAGGAACCCCAACAGGGCTGCCCCCATGCACAGGAGCCCAAGGATCTGCTCTGCAGCAGTGCTTGGGAGCAGTTCACCAACCAAGGGTCATCTGTCCTCTAAGACTTGTCACTCCCCACCCCCAACACAGGTCCACACAGGCACTTTCATCTCTGCAGGGTGGTAAATTCCACCTTAACCTTTTAATGGAAAGCCACAGCATGGCTGGGAAGCTCTTCAGGCCATGGAAAGGAAGGGGAGCTGAGCAGTCTTACCTAGGCCATCTCCATTCTGGGCTCTAGTGCAGCTGACTGCAGCTGGTAGAACAAAGCTTAGCCTTAGACTGGTGGGGATGCCTAAGACCCAGGCTGCTCACCCCTTCTCCAATGACCCCACTGAACCACCTTCTTTGGGACAGTCAATGGTCTGACCTTTCTGGTGAAGGCCATCACAGTGCCCTTGGCTTAGGACAGGCTGTATTGGTGCCCATGGACTGGGGGGAAATGGGACCACTGGTTCCTAAGAATGGAGCGCCAAGCAGGGCTAGTATACGACCTAGTCTTTTATTTGCCCAAGGCCAGCTGCTGAAGGCACAGGCCCCCAGACTTCCAGAAGGGATAGAGGTAGGAGGGGCCCAGTCCTCTGCCCACCAGGTGCTGTCTGTCCCAAACCTGCTTCTCTCAGGAATTGAGGGGTTGCATTCAAGCTAGCAAGTATCTCCCCAACTGTCAGGTACTACAGCTAGTCAGCTGCAGACTAGGAAACAGGTATAACTGACAACCTCCCTTCCCTGACTTCTATTGGCTGGTCCAAGGTTAAGCAACTTCCCTTCTCTACCCCCAGCAGAATGAGTTGTAGGCAGCCTAGGGACTCTCAGGAGCCCATCTGGTGGCTTGGGGCGGGGGGGAGGCCAGCCAGGGTCAAGGGCTGGGGATAGGGGGAGCAGGAGGGGTGTGGCTGGGAGAGCAGCTGCTGGGTGGAGGGAGGGAGGTGAGCGTTGAATAGGGGACCCCAGCTGGGGTTCCATAATGACATCAGTGGGGGACAGGCAGAGCCCTCTGCTGACCAGATGGGGAAACTGAGGCGGAGACCCCTCTAATCTCTGGATAGGGAGAGGCTTCTCATCAGTCATTCCAGTCCATTCGTCTTCTCCATGACGATGGCTCAGGAGCTGGAGTGCCTTGCAGGCGGTCACTCAGTGCTTAGATTAAGACACAGGGAATGGAAAGCAGCTGGGTCACCTGGGCCCCCCCTCCACCACAGGCACATAGAGGCCCCCCTACCCCTGACGCCACAGGCACATAGAGCCCCCCCCTCCACCCCTGACACACCACAGGCACACCCTCCCCCACCTCAGCTGCTGGGAGGATGCTGGGCTCAGGCATCTGCCTTCTCTCCCTGCTCACGTGCCCTACCCAGAAAGGCTCATTTTTAGCACCTGGCCTCTTTTCCCTGCCTAGAGGGAGCTTAGGGGATTCAGCAGGGAAGGAGGCAGCCAAGGGGGACAGGACACCTGGAGGCAGGGCCCAAGGGGATGTGTGGTTGTGCTGTTCTCCCCTCACAAGGGTGCTAAGGCTCAGAGAGGAGCCCTCAGCCTCCGTGCAGTGTGGAGATGAAGAGGACGCTGTCCTGGTCCTGAAGCTGGTAGTCCAGCTCACCCTGGGTAGGAAAGAGGTGCAGGGACCATCAGGGCAGAATCCCAGGTATTCCCCAGGGGTTGGGAGGGGGAAGGAAAGGATGGTTGCTCTGGGAGAAGAAAAAGCTTCACAAGAAAAATGGAGACCCTACACACCAACCCTCAGGTCTCTGGGAGGGTTGAGAGCTCCTTACTTTCCCAGCAACTATTCCTCACTTGAGTTAGGAGACTGGAGTAGCTTCATTTGGAGGACCAGAAAGGATCAAAGAGGCCCAGGGTTTTCCCACTGAATCAGAGAGGGCAGGGTTGGGGAGGGGTGTTCCTGGAGGTACTGACCAGCAGTTCCCAATCGGCATCATTAATCAGCACCAGAATTCCCGGCCGCCTGTGGGGAAGGCAGTAAGGGACACGAGTGAGAGGCAGAAGCTCAGCCTATGGCTGCAGGGATGTAGGGAGAGCCCTTCCTCCCGAGGTTCAGTTAAAAATCTCCCAAGAGGTAGAGGCCACAGTCTGCACAGACAGAAAACCAGGTCAGATGGCCATGGTCTTGGAGGCCTCAGGTAAAATAGGTATTAAGGCCAGCACCACACACCACCCAGACCTCAGGCAAGGCATTTTGCTTCTCTGAGCATCAATGTTTTTTTTCCATGTGAAAATTAAAAGGTCCACCCCACATGGTCTGCTAGGGATGCAGGGGACTATGTATACAGGGCTTTCTTGCCACTCCATCTTAGTAACCAGCAGGAGAAACCTACTCTTCTGGGGTCTAATCTTACTCTCCTAGGTTCTAGAGAGGAAGGATTTTGGCTTCTAGGCCTCCTAGAGGCCCATCCTGGAGAGGAGGCAAGCTCAGCACTCCTGGGTCAGGGATGGCTGCCAGTGGCACTGAGCACTGAATGCTCAAGAGCAGTCCTGCCTGTAGAAGGGCTTAGCCTGGCTCCCACTGGCTGTGGTCCAGGGAGCACCGCTGTCTTTGCAAGTGGCTTCCAGAACTACTGCACACTGGATTGCAGCCCTAGCCCTTGGGGCTGCAGGTGACCCATGCTTCAAGGCAGACAGTCTCACAACTTGCCGCCTACCTCTTTTACACAGGAGGCCAGCCTTGTTTGGAAGTGAAGCAGGTGGGGAAGCTCTGGGCTTTCTAGAGAGGGTGTCCTTAAGGAGAATGTGGGGTACATGTGTCTGAGTGTGTAAGGTCAATGACCTGAAATCTGGGCCTGTGCTGCCCTACACAGAATACCTACTGGACATACATAGCTATTTAAATTGCAATGAAATAAAACAGAAAGTTTTGAGGGTTTGGTCCTTGAGACAGGGTCTTGCTACATAGGTTGGCTGCAAACTCAGCAATCCACTCACCTCAGGTTCTCGAGTGCTGGGCTACAGGTATGTGCCACCATACCCAGCTAAAATGGAGGACTGAGCTCCTTAGTCACACTGGCCAACTTCCAGGCTCAACCAGCCCCACGTGGCAGCAGCTACCACGGGACAGCACAGATAGAGACCACTTCCGTCATCAAAGAAGTTCTATAGGAGAAGCCTGTCCTACATAGTCCAGGAGGAGAGGGTCCCTGGGCAACGTGCTTTCCTTAGTATTTTCTGAACAAAGAGTTACTAAGTGAGGCCCAGGTAACTCGCCCAAGGTTCCACACACAGCAAGAATGTGGCAGTCACGGTACAATCCACATTTTCTGGTGACATCTACCAGGCTCTTTTCAGTGTGATAACAAGAAAGCTAGATCAGACTAGATGGAGCTGCACAGAAATTCTTTCCTCAGAGAAGTTTTGGAAGAGAGGGGGGCCAGAGGACTCAAGAGCAGACATTCAGAACCCAAGGGCACCAGCTCAGGCATCCTTCCCTCCCTCGCAGTCCTCAGGGAGGGGAGGAAGGGAACTCACACACTGTCCCCCTGGATGAACAGCTCTGGCCGCTCTTTTAGCAAATTCTTCTTGATCCAGACAAGGAGGTTCCGGATGTCCCCTAGAAAGGGAAGCACAGAACAAACCAACGTTAAACCCAACTCATTCCTAGCCCCAAAGCCTTGTCTGACAGAGAGGTGAACACAGGGCCCACGGGGCATTTTAGAGCAGGCTATGATGGCTCAGGAACCTCATTTCCCCAAGAAGGGGAAAGGAATTAGGCTAGGGACCTGCCAGAGAGGTCTTCAGAGAAAGTGGCCCTGGCACTGCTGGAGGCTTTACCTTTGCCTGGGAATTGAGGCAGAGTGGGAGGAACTACAAAGGACTAGGGAACAGAGCAGGTCTGAGGCTGCTGAGACTGCTGAGGTCACCAAGGATCCACAACCACCTTTATCTGTCCTGCGCGTCCAGCCGGGGTGGGCTAGCTTTACTCTTGGAGGGTCTGCATATATTTCCCTTTGCAAGGGGAGAAAAACAATTGCTGAACAGATAACATCAGTTAATTTCCTCTAGCAGAGGGAGAGAAGGCAGCTCACCAGCCAGAGACACTGACAAATCACTTTTCTACTCCCCGCCATGCAATCCTTGCAAGCTGGGGGTGGCCACCTTGAAGAAGCAAGAGGTTCAGGGCCGAAAGGGCCTTTCCTGCTCGGCGGAACACTGAGAGCTGCCTCCTGTAAGCTGGGGTTCTGGGACAGCCAACAGTCTCCATACAGCATGTGGAGGCTGAGGCAGCAGTCGCCAGGGCTACCTCTTCTTTCCCAGGAGTGGGGAGACCAGGCTATGGCAAATTGGGATCGAGTCACCTCCACAAACATGTTGATGCCCAAGGTCACCACTCTACTCTTCAGCTGTCCCAAGGCTGCTGGAGGTCCTGCTCTCTCAGAGGTGACCTGAGAACGAAGGTCCCTGGGAAACAATTAGCCTTCAGGAAGCCACAGACACAGTGTTTCAGAGGGGTCTGCTGCTTGCATGGTACTTGAGACAAGGCTCAGGGCCTAAGCTGAAACAGGGTGAGGGTGTCGCAGCTGTGCCAGCACCTAAAGTCCTGGACTAGAGGCCGAGGCTTGGCTGGCTATTTGCTCACAGTAAGTCTTGCTCCTCTCCCAGTATGGGTCCTGTGTAGGCCTGGCCTTTGGCAGGACCAGAACATACTCTTGCCTGCACGCAGCTTCCTAGGAGGTGGGACAGTACAGCTTGGATGACCTAGTCCCTTCTGCTGGATAACAGCATTTCTGGGTTGTATGCCACAGAGCATAGGGCTACAGGCAGGATACAGGGACCGATACACCTTCCAGTTCAAAATTCCTCTTTTTAACTAAGCAGACTTAATGGGGCATGGTGGCACACACCTTTAATCCCAGCACTTGGGAGGCAGAGGCAGATGGATCTCTGTGAGTTTGAGGCCAACCTGGTCTATATATTGAGTTCCAGGTCAGCTGGGGCTACAGGGAGACCCTGTCTCAAAAAGACCAACAAATCCAGCAAGACTTAAGTCCTTGTTGCCCCCTAGGGGCAGGAAGGGTGCTAACCCCTCCCCTCTCACACTGCAGGCCACTTAGAGTCCTGGTGGGCTCTTCCCCTCAGCCCTGAATCACCTTGGCCTCCATCTTGGCACTGTCTGGTGGGCTGCCAGCCCATACATCTTGTGTCAGCTCGACAGAACAGCCAGGGTCTAACACATCCATCAGCTGGCCTCGGCAGTCAGGGCCGAGCCTGTGTTTGGACACAGCAAGGGGGACTTGGGCAAGCCTGGTCCAGTGACCACAGGCTGCATCTCATAACACTAGCTGGCCAGTAGAGAGTCAGGACTCTGCTGGGGGACAGCCCTGGCTCCCTCCAAAGAGAGGGTGCTTCTGTTCCAGTTTAGATAGGCTTGGGAATGGGGGAGGGCTGGTGGTCACGCTGGGGTCAACCACGTGATGGCACTATCATGGACTCCCAGAGGGGTGGGCTGGGGATGAGTCTGCTGCCCAGTGCTGCCTCATTTATCATGATACTCCTATTTGCTGAGGTCACTCCCTCCCTCTTCTGCCCACCCCCACTCCAGGCCTGCCCACATTTTTGATAGCCTGTTACCATGGTGAGGCTACTGCATCACCACCCTTATTGTTCCCCATGCCTGGATTCGGGGTGGGGAGAGGTAGGACTCAAGGCTCCCTTAGTAGGCTGCAAGGGCCACTCAGTCTGGCCTGAAACGCACCCCCAGGGACATCTTGCTTGGCTTGTTGAGGCCCAGACAATATGCAAATAGGCTCCAAGCCAGATGGTTGGCTTCCAAAGGCGCACGGGGAGGAGGAAGGGTTAAGCAGAGTCAGGGACTGGTGGCTTGGGGGTGGCTCCAGGATGGATGGGGGCTGGAGAATCTCTCTTCCTTCCCCCTCCTGAGGGTAGTCTCCCATTCACAAGACAAATACTTACTGAGCAACTACTCTGTGCCAGGTGCTAGGGTGATGGTGGCGAGCAAGCCAGACAGAGCCTCCCTTGTGGAAGAGGGCAGAGGGGAAGCAGACATTACTTACTTAATTAGTTGTGATAAATGCTACCTCCTTTGGGAGCAGGAAAGGCCTTTCCTAGAGTGTTAACACTGAAGCTTAGGTCTGAAGGATAAATGGGGCTTGGGTCGGGGAGGGTTCTGGACAGAAGGAGAGCATATGGGAAGAGCTGAGGCAGGATGGAATGAGTAGGTTCAAGGTGGCACAATGGAGAAGGCAAGAAGATCAGCATTTGGGACCCTGGAGGAAGCTGCTCTCTCCTGAACCCTAGCAGTACTTATAAGGTGTACCCCATGTCTCCAGGCTTTTCTGTCTTGAAACACAACACTGAATTCCCACCGCCCTTGACAAAGTGGAGTCTGGACTCAGGGCTGTTGCCCTCACACCACCACCCTAGGATGTCTGTGAAAAGCAAAGACAACTGAGCAGTAGAAAGGGAGAATTAGGTGAAGGGCATGGATGTTGGGGTTGGACAGTATTGGTTGGTTGGTTGAGACAGATCTTTGTGTAGTTCAGGCTGACTGTGAACTTGCTATGTAGCTAAGGAATTCCTGATCCTTTGGCCTCCACCTGCTGGGATCATGGGTATGCACTACCATGCCCACCAGTCTTGGTTCTGAGTTGGACTCCATCCCTCCCTGGTTATATGACCTTAGTAAAGGAATCCTCAGAAATTCAGCTACCTTTTTTTAAGAAAATGGGGTAAGTGGGGCTGGAGAGATGGCTCAGCGGTTAAGAGCACTGACTGCTCTTGCTGAGGACCCAGGTTCAATTCCCAGCACCCACGTGGCAGCTGCAAACCGTCCTTAACTCCAGTTCCAGTGGAATCAGAAGCCCTCTTCTGATCTCCATAGCACGACACGGGTGCACTCACATACATGTAGGCAATACACTCTTAACACATAAAATAAAAATAATAAATAAAATATTCAAAACAAAACAAAATGGGATAAGAATGTACTGTTAACAAGACCAAACCAGAGGAGCCACATACAGCTGTCTGTGCCTAGCCTATCACTGGTGTCATTCTTCCAGATCTAGGGGAGAAACTGTCTCTTCTTGACTCTTCAATGCCCTGGGTCTCTGGCCACCATATAGAACCCCAACATTAGATGAAGAGGGAGGGATACCACTAATCAGGCAGTGCTGTGGCTTCTGTGGGATCCAGTACCTGCTCATCAGAAGCCAGCAGGAATAAGAGAGGGTGTGGGTCTCAAGACACTGGACTTCTTTCCTATGTTGCCCAGGCTGGCCTTGAGTTCCTGGCTCAGACAATCCTACTATCTCAGCCTTCCAAGGAACTAGGGATACAGGCAGTCGCTGTTGTTCCCACCCATCTTCCTCCCATTTAAGTGTTGGACCCACAAAATGCCACTGGTTAAACTCCTGGGGCAATCCATGTGGGAGGAATCACATTCCAAGGCTGTGAGTGCTGGTAGCCAGCCAAGCACTTAGCGCCAGGGGAGGATGACAGCACTCTGATGCAAGGTTTCTGGTGCAGGAGGCCCTGGTACCTGGCCTGCCCATCTGAGGATAACAAGTGATAGGAGCTGCTGCTTTGTGGTGAAGTGGTTAGAGGTTTGCCCAGGGAGAGGACCTGCACCCGAGGGCTAGATGGCCTTGGGCAAGAAATCACTCCCCTCTCTATCCTGGTGTAGCTCCTCGGAAAAATTCGGATACTAATCCATACTCCAAGGGTTGCTTGAGGATTAAGGCACACTGCTAGCAGCAGACCACCAGTGTCAAACCCATGGGACACACTCAACAGATGGGCTCTCTAAGCTGTGTGCTCAAGTGACTCATTCCTCATCTGAGCTGCCAGAGCCTTGACCTCAAGGCAGCTGTGGTGGGGACACCATTCACCCTGTGTTACAGTGCACTTACGGAGTTCAAGGGCAGCCTGGGCTTGTGGGGGGGATGCTCAAAGTGTATTACATACTTCCATGAAAATGGTTTTATGAAACCCACTTACAAAATGGGACAAGATAAGGAAGCAGCTCTTGTTTGCATCCCTTGCCCCAGAGACTTGTCCTTGCCAGGAGACTTGAAAAGCCCACTGCAAAGAGCCCTTCGTGGCAGGACTCTCAAGAGTGTCACGTCCTACCTCTCAGAGCCTACATACCACAACCCCATGTCCCACCTAACATCTCATCCTGGCTGCAACAGAGAGCCAAATCTGGCCCCTGTGAACACCTAGGGTCAAGAGCTGCTCATCCAGAGCACTTCTCTCCCATGTCACTCCCTTCTACTGGGCCTGCGGTCCACAGAGGTCATGCCAACAAATGTATTTTCTCATCTCCACCTGCACCCATCAGATTTAAGAAACACTAATCCCTTAAATCTTCTCTTCCCTAAGTTAAACTGTCCTTTCCCCACCAAATCCACCAGGCTCCAAGGCAGGGCTCTCAGAGATCCTACCCCAGGCGCAAGTTGAAAAGGAGAAGAAAGAGTTGGCATGGGGGAAGAAAGAGAAGAGGGGTGGAGGGAACCTCAGAGGCTCCATTTACAAATGAATGGGGCAAGAATGGAGCAGTTTGTGGGCTAAACTGGCCTCAGAAGGAGGTTT